TGGGGGCTTGGCTACACTATAAAACTGCATAGGTGTATCCTTTGTATTTGTAGAACCAATATTGTAACTGGATCAATTAGAAAGTTTTCTTTCCATTCAGAATGCCTATTCAACTCCAGAAAGTTAGAACAAACAACACCTTTTCACAATTACCCACAACTTAATCTCCTAGCTTCTGAAGAAATTAAAAATCTTTAAAAAGATTCCTATCATTATGATCCATTAAAATTAAAGACATGTTGATTCAGATTCCAGCACTAAACTTTTAATCTTGTTCCTAGAATATATTTTACTATATGCCAATGTTCTCATTTTAACTTTTTCCAGTTCAAGACTGGAAAGATCCTTCTTTCTTTTAAACGACACAAGTGGGACCTAGAACAAAATGTCGTGACATGGAGCACTAGTGCCCCGGGTTCCAGTCAGCCATGGCCTCTTCTGGGATAGTTTATTCCACTCTGCCTTCTTCCCATGAGGCACTCCGCATTCTGTGGGCAGTGAGCATGCTTGGTCGTAACTGAGCTGCCTTGAAAGCCCCCAACAGGTTCTTTCCTCTTTTCTTTTTCTTTTCTGCAAACCATGAAAATCTCTTGAACATTTCCATAACATATTTTTGTTTCTCAGTGGTTCCATTTTGGCTAGAACTCACCAGAACAGCACACTATTAGGAGCAATTAAGAGAAAATACACTTGAGTGTCATTTGGGTAAATTTATGAAAGGAAAAAAAGGAAAACTCTAGGTGGATTTTTTTTTTCTTTCAAACATTGAAATTATGTTGTATTTTCCCCCAAAAAACTGAAGAAGTTTGGATTCTGATTTTCTTTTCTTCCTTCCTTCTAGAATAGCAAATAAAATGTTTAAGGCAGTATGTTCCTATATTGCTACGAGGTCTTTACTTTCCCAAAATGATTTTCTAAAACTACAGGATGTAAGGACAAAGATGTAAACTTTCTGGAAATTTTGAAGCTATGGGAAGTAGTGTTTTTAGTCCTCTGTGTAAGATTTCCTCCATTCTTATTAAGCTTATTGATCGAATATATCTTTTATTTATTACATTTCTATACCACCCAATCACTGAAGCTCTCTGGGTACTTTAGAACAATTAAAACCATAAAGTAAAAAGAAAATGCACTGTAAAAGTATAAAACTACAATATAAAATAGACGTAAAAGCCAAAGTAAAACCTAGCAGCTATACAAAGATTAAGCTGCACCAAAGAATTTAAAACAACCCACACTAAAACACTAAAAGTTCTGAGAAGGTAAGAAAGTCTTTGTTTGGCACCAAAAAGAGCATAACATAGGCACAAACCAAACCCCTCTGGGGAGTTCGTTCTGCAATCCAGCTCCTATTGGTGACAGATCTGAATTACTTTGCCTTCAACATATCAATCAAACTTGCTACCAAGGATCCATTTCTCTCCATGGCCCTGACTGTAGCAAATCACAAGCCACTTGAAAAGGTGGAAAAGAACTCCCTTTTTACTACTAGTACTGCCTCTGAGTAGACTTGAATAATGAGCTTTAACCTGTGCTTAGTCAGATTCAGGGGAAGAAAGTCTTCTTCCACCTGCATTCTAGCCACCTCCTTCTTGCTTCATTGCCCTTAGCTCAGGTGTACATGAAGAACTTGGTTGGTCTCTGCTCAGGTGGAAACAGTGCTTGAACAAGTCATATTTGCATTCCACAGAGTAACCTGGACTTCAACAGGAGCACCAGTCAGACCAGCAAAAGAGTTTCCCAGAGCCTCCTGGAATCCATTATCTTTCATGGGTAGGCCTATTTTAATAATTTGCCCACCCATGTAAGTTAAAAAGTTCCATTTATTCAGAGAAGACTGATTTACTGATATTTTAATTACTAATCATTTTATTATGAACTTAGTTATTTGTAACTGATTTTATGTTTCTAAAGTTACAAAGAGACTTTAAATGTGTAAACAATGCTTTAAAATATTTTAAAAGCAAAAAAGTATTGCTTATTTTTCCCCAGACTGATTTTTTTCCAAAGATTCCCACCCATCTCCCTCTCTGGAAGAAATTAAACATCACCACACTTGGGCCCTCACTGTATTTCATGATTTTTGACAACTATTTTTATGATCCAAATAATCTTCTTTCTGGAAGGACTACATTCAAAAGTTCTGAAAGGGGAACACATTTGGGAAGTGGACTAATGAGATGCTGAAAAAGAATCAAACATATCTTTGAACTTTCCTATCCCAAAAGAAAGAAAAAATATGTAAGGCTTTGACAGCCCAGCTGAGTAAATCATGGAGCATTCAAACATAACATATAAACCAAAATTTGCTGCTGTAAGAATGGCTCCGGGGAGGTTTGAGGTTGCATGCTCCTCCCTTTTCATTTTCCACACCTTTCTGCACAAAGGAAAGAAACATGAAGATTCATTCAATATACTGCAACAAACATAGCTTCCCATTTTGTCTGAACATGGGAAAACATGGTTTGTTTACACTGTAACTGTATAACAAACTCTAAGATCAAATTATAATCAAGAGGTGAAGGTATATTCACAGTTCTAGATTCTGGGAGAAACAAGATTCCTTCTTGTTCATTATGATCTCTTATCCACAGATGGGGGGCTGCTGATAGTTCAGATTTGGTAGTTCCAGATAATAAGGCACTTTTATTCAGAGAGGCCTTTGGTCTCATGAGCTGATTTATTATATTACAAACTTTTGCTGATATCTTTTTATCTGCCTATTTCTGTATTCTGAGTATTTTACTTTACATTTTATCTTGAGCATCATTCAGTTGATCTAAACCAATAAACATGTTGGGCAGCTGTAGGGGAAACTTGGATATGGCAGAAACAAGTACTAAGTCAAAATATGTAGCGACAGGATATAGGTCTGTGGCTAGGATCCAACCACTGAATTCCACCAACAGCTGCATCCATATGATGGCTCTCCAAATATTGAGCCATTTGTGTACAGTGATTTCCTATGCATGGACTGACCAAGATATTTCTCCATATTGCCTTTGTTGAGGACTAGTCAGTCATCCAACGCATGAATGGTTAGCTGCAAAAAACAGATGCTCTGTAGATATTCAGCAGTGTTCACATGGCTGCTTTCGCAAGTGAGATATTCTTTGGTTCTTACACTGCTGGCTGCTCTCTTGGTTCATTGGTAACCGGATGAATAACAAAACTATGGAGACTCTATAGTACAGATTGGGTCTGGACACATACTGAATTCCGTACACAGAGCAGGCTCTGGGAAAAGGCAGTGGCCCCAGGCATAGGATACCAGATACTGAGGCCCACCTTGTTGGATAGGCTTCCAAGCATGGCTTTATACATGCCTGCTTATACGCACGTTTAATTCGTGGAAATGGCATAGGGACATGTGCATATCCTTCACAGCAATATGCTACATGTTATATGCATAGTGCCGAACAAACCTAAGACGTGGTTCCCTATTTATGCCTAATATGAAATGGAGAAGAGGACCTGTAAATGCCCCAGAAAACACTCTTTTAAAGGTCAGTATTGCCTCATTTGGCCAAATAGCTGGGATGACACTATAACAAGACACTCAACTGAAAAAAATTCGGTGTCACAATGCAAAGGAAGATAGAATGATCCAAGAGAACAAGAAAAGATGTCCAAGCAGAGGCAGTTCAAGGAAAAAGTGCGTGCAGTGGATAACGAACTGAACATGTCAATAATGTGATACTGCGGCACAAAAGGCCAATGCTATTTTGTTTTTATATCTTTGATAGAGGCATTGTTTCCCAAGATTGAAACACTGGTAATGCTGACCTTCTCAGTGGTAGTAAAACATCTGCTGTATTGCAGTTCAGAGTAGAATGGCATTTCAAGAAGGCTGTTGACAACTTGGAAATGATTCAGGGGAAAGTTATAAGGATTATAAAGGGACCTAGGAAGACAAATTATATGAGGAAAGCCTGAAGGAATGAGTGCCGAAGACAAGTAGAGGAAATTGATATTGTAGTCGATCTTAGTTATTCAAGAGCTTGTAAGAAAGACAAAAAGAACAATTCTTTATCATTTCCACTGGTGGAAGGAAAGAGGAAACACATTAACAACAACAACAAAGACAGACAGACAGACAGACAGATTTTAGCTTATATAAAGGTAAAAAACAGCTTCCTGTCCTAGAAAAAGTTCACATTACCAAACTGGGTTACAAAGATGCACAGCTGGCTCCCAATTCTATGAATGCTATTCAACATATAGCTTAGAATAGCTTTTCCCAATTTGCTGTCCTCCAGACATTCTGGACTTCAACTCCCATCAAACCCCAACCAACATGGCAAATGGTCAGGGCTTATAGTTCTTGTAGTCCAATGACACCTGCAGTGCATCCCTGTATTAGAGAGCTAATGGACTCAGATCAGAGGACCACCAAGCCAGAACCTCTGTAGGCACACTGGCTCCCTTTCCATTTCTAGTGCCCAGGCCAACGGTTGCTCCTAGCACTTTAGAGAGTCTTCAGAACAGAACAAGAGGAACTATTAGAAGTGCAAGAATCTTTCAGTGATAACTGATATATTTGGTGGCACTTTTCAAGAAGCCATCAGGATTTTCATAGAATACAAAGAATCCAATTTGTGTTTCTACGAAATATCCACACAGCCTATCAAGGACATGCCACTAAAACAGTTATATGAAAAATGAAAATCTTTCCACATCTCATGTGATGTGCAGGCCCTTGAAAGCCAACAAGCTCCTTTTGACTCCCGTGAGCTTTTAGTCTAAGCTTGTGCTACCACATGACTTTAGTATATGTGAAGTGAAACAGCAATCATTAAAACCATGAGAAATGCCATTCAAAATGCCAATTCCAAAACACTTCAGAAGGTTCAAATAATACATTCAAATAAGTTGAGTTACTTACATGTAACGTGTATATAAAAAAAAGCCCTCAAGTCAATAGAGAGCGCCCGAGTAAGCTACAACTAGAACTCTCCCAAAATGATATGGCAGTCAATTAAAGCAAGCAAGTTTCTTACTTGTCTTCCTGATGATGGTCTTCCTGGTCACTAAGATCATCATCATCTACCAAGTGTCCAAACGGTTCAGAAGAAATGGATACCATGTTGGAAAGAATGACTCTGCTGTCACTGCTGCCTGTCAGTACTAACTGGTCATGGGAATGATTGTAACGGACATTCCAAACCCTAAAAATATGAACATAATCACAAAATCAGCTACTAGCACCACTATGGAGATTTCAAAATGTCAAATCATTTTCCATCAGTGAATTGTTATGAACCAGTTGCCTAAGATCAATCACATATAAAGAATGGGTTCGATTGTTGACTATCTGTGGGTGGAATTCCAACCACAGGACTTGCATGCTGGAGGAAACAGGAAAGGGACTTCTTCCCCTGCAGCCTCATGTCCTCTCCTTCCAAAAACTGCTCCAGAAGATTGGGGAACTTCTGAAACACTGTAGGAGGTGGCACTGGGTGATGCAAGGGAAGAGGGAATTAGCAAGTTCTCCATCCTCCAGATCTTGGTTCCTTCTGCAAATGGAAGGAACCCTTCAATTAGGTAGTATCCAGCTTGGAAGGAATGGAAGGAGTTTCTGTTCATGGAAGGATGCTTGTGCTCATGGAATAAAATGGTGGATACTGCCCAATGCAAAATAAAAGCACGCATGAATTTCCAGTCACAGGATTAAAAGTGTAGATGGATTTTTAGGAAATGGCTTGATAATTACAGCACGGGTTGCCATTCTCCTGCATGCTAGGATCATGCAGCAAGTGCTCTTCGGGCAAAGGGGCCACTGATGACATTGTATTCTCCCCTCCAATACCAATACCTTTGCTACTGCCATTGTGCTATGGTAGAGTCAAAAGTGCCTTGCCTTAACAACACTGAAGACACAAAGCTCCATTGCATTTTCTCCAGCTCAAAGGAAGACTGGTACAGTCACTGAACAGCCTGTCATGAATGTGAAGGTTTGGATCTAGAGCCATAAGTGGAGTTCTGCTAACAGAATGCTTCCCACTGGAAGGAGTGGGGAAGGGGGATTCTCACCAATTCCTTCTTCCCCCTGCATCCCAGCTAAAATCTGCTGAAGCATTGAAAGGCCCTCTGGAACAGCATGGAAGACAGCAGGAAGAAGAAAGAAATTGGCAATAATTATCCCGCTTTCCCCTCTCTCTGTCCTCAGTCTGGGAGAGAAAGCCCCTTGGATTGCAGCCCCTTCTACCAAAATAAGGGCTCCTTCTGTTTGCCAAAGGGTTGCACTAAACCCACCCCTAATGCATTTTACTAGTCCAGGATTTGCCCCCATCAAGGGACTCTGCTCACAAATCCCCCAAATCTAATTTTGGGGGGGGGGGTCTCTACACCACAAACTACCCCTTACAGCAAGGGCTCCTGACCCTCACTGCCACATTTTCAGTGGCCTTGGGAGGTGCCATGGGAAGGAGAAGGTAGGGCAGTCTACTTCTGTCAATACAGTTTTAGTGCAGTTGATCAAGAGCAGATCTGCATCGAACTCCAGATAACAAATGTTCTACTACTCTTTCTCTGAGCTGGAAGCTGGTGCTTCATGGGATTACCTAAACTGGCTTTCCTGACAGATTGGAAAAGCATCATGATAGTGTTACAATAGTCTGGAATAGGGCAAGTAGCTCTCATCCACTTTTCTGCATGGATGCATTATATACTTCAAGACCAAATCAAGACCTGAGCCTGTGGGGAATTAACAAAAAACTCCTTTTCCTACTCTTCCCTTAGCAGCAACCTTAAACTTTTCTTTTAGGCTTGTAAGAGGAAAGGAAAGGGAGAGAGAAAATGATGTGAATTCTGCAATGTTTGCTTTTATTTAAGACAGCACATGGAAATTCTGAAAATATTCCTCCAAAATCTAAACATGATTAACTTGATAAATTAAAGCAGAAGTTACCCCAACTCCCTATTGTGAATAGTTTAAATAGTCCATAAAACAAAAAGGAGGATTAATGGTATTAATTATACCATTTCAAATGTATGTATCATGGTAATACCATATATCTTTAGGTTTTCCGCCATTCTAATAGCTTAATAATCTCCTCAGAAAATGTTTCTATGAAGTTGTATCTTCAATGGCAGTGCTGAAGCAGCTTCAGGGTCCAGAACTGATGCCCTAAAAATCCAAGCAATTTAAACAACATTCTCTCTTTCAGCAATATAGAAATCTTTCTACACTGCTATTCAACAAAAGGAAATCTCTGTTGCAAAAGCATTTAGAAACTGTTTTACAATATGGACATTATCTTCCTAGGAAATAAACAAAGGATAGCTTTTAAAATGAACATGCTGTATAGAGATTTCTGTATTCTACAAAGGAAAAATAAAAGATCCATTAAATATGAAACCAAGACAATGAGATCCAGTGTGAAAAGCCCTCCATTCAAAGAAATGCACTTTACCAGTGGGAATGCTCTTCTAGTGTCTTCACTGGCTCACTGACATTTCTGGTGTCCCAGAATTTCACCTTGCAGTCATCTCCGCAACTGGCCAGATAGTACTGTTTGTTGGGATTAAAATCTAGGTCCCGCACCAGCTGTCCATGAGCATTTTCTATACAATATATTTGGCTGTAGACACATCAAGAATAAATACATATATAATGAAACATAGCCACACTGCTTACAGAAAAAAAGAGTTTTGTTTGCACTGCAAATTATTTTGTTCCCATTTAAGTCAATGATAATTTGCCACATCTGCTTTGCTACCAAGTGCTTGCATATTGGCTTTGCTCCTTTAATAATATTACTTCTAGGTTTAAATGGAATATCCACATACAGCTGGATTATTCTGGGCAAATGGGCTGGATCTAGAGCATCAAATCACACGAATGCCAGGCTGTAGCGTGGTTTCCATTTTCTCCTCCCCAGCCCAATCCATCCACCTCCACTGGTGGAACACTCTACCCTCATTAATTAGAGTCAGGCCAGTATCTTTACTTCTGCACTGAGTGGCTGGATCATTGCCCATCCAGCATGCAAAAAATGGGTGCAGAACGTGTGAAGAAGTTCAGAGACCATGGTGTGCACATGATAAAACCCAGGTATGTGCTACAGCAGATTTGGGGCATGTCAGGGTCTGTTTTCAGCTATCTCTTACTGTCACTTACTCACGGAGATCCAGTATTTTATTCCTGTTTCACTACCAACCGCGTGTATTCTTTTTGTGACCATCAATTTTGCAACTGTGTCTCTTTAAGCAGCATGTGGTCAGAGACACAAGCAATTGCTGTGCAGTAATTTTACAGGAAAACATTCCAAATGGACATGACAAAATTGCAAGCTGCAAGACCACTAACACCAGGCCTGAAGAAGTCTACTTAAAATAGCATCACCTGGAACCATTAAAATGGCATTAGAACACACACACACCTGGACAAACTACTGTATTTTTTTTTTAAGTTACTGCCACAAAGATTCCAGTGACATACCATTTCTAATGGTTAATAAAAATGATCTTTAAAAATATCCTTTAAAGATGTAATAATCTCACCCAACCTGTTTAGGCCATTCACAAGCACTGACTACTTAGTTGATTAACCTGCAGATCTATTGTTTAGAGCATGGATGCTCGTCCCACATTGGCATCCAGTGAAAAAACACAAAGTAGCGGTTAGACTGTTGCACTGTGGACCCTGGAGATCTAGTCCCACTTGGTCCTGAAGCTCACTGGGTGACTTTGGCCCAGTCACAGGCTCTCAGCCTAATCTACTTCACAGGGTGGCTGTTGTTGTTGTAAGGATAAAAATGGAGTGGGGCAGAGTTTCTTGCAAGAGGGAAAATGGCAGGATATAAAGGCAAGCTAATAAGAATAGGTATGTGGAATGACTGCTTTCCCCAGTCATGTGACCAGCCCATGATATTATAACTTTTTAAGGCTTCACCCTACTTTGATAGCTGGAGTCCTAGAGTGGAAGATTAGCTAGGATCAGTGGGAAAGTAATTAATTCCCTATCACCACTAACAGACTTTTCAACTGTGAAGGGTACAGGAGCTCTAACAGTTTCAATTATTCTCTAACAGTAATTTTCTGTGCATGCATAATTGAAATGCATGGGACACCTCCAAAAACTGAGATACAGTATAAAGAAAGAGGGACCTTAAAAATAGCTACATCCATACACAAATGCACAGGTTCAGGGATAGGTGAATGTACACCTGAGCTGAGGAGTTCAACATCCTGAAGCTTGAGCAACAGTCTAGCCACTCCTCTCTTTGCCACCTGGCATACACTAAAAATGAACTAGGTGTTCCTATGCTTTCCCAGTAGGCTAACAAAGAAGGGCCACTGCAGACAAAACAGCGGCAGCAAGGTGAACACAATCCTTGTTCATAGCCCTCCAGACACAGATCCGAACATGGCTTGAGTGAAGGGGAGACTGGCGTAGGGCAGCCCCTAACTGTATGCCCAGTATTGCAGAAGCAGGGCATTAAGGTCAAGGGATGCGTGTCCTGGAGAAGCAGGTATGAGCATGAAGCCAGCTCCCGGTACCTTGCCTTCAAGCCAAGGGATGCTTCCAAGGCTGCCACAGTACGGTAGGAACAGAGACATCGATCACCTCTTTGCTCGCGAGCCTCCTGCCTCTACTGACCTTCACTCTGAGGAATCACTTAATGCTTCACACTACAAAAGCATCTGTTTTCTTTTCCATAGTGAAAATGCTATTATTTTAAGTAGCAGCCAAGAGAAAACCTGATCAGCCTTGAATGGCAGAGGAAGGAGGGGAAATTTAACTGCCTGTCTTCCTGCCTTGCCCAGGTCAAAAACTGTACCTTGGAAGTCAATTATTTGTATTTCAAGGGAAGCCTCCTTGGCACCAAAGACCGGAGAAGCCATTCAGGCTTTAGCTTGGTCACTATTTATGAGACAAAACAATGTGTACATTCGGTACACTCACATAATTGCTTTGGTTGGCCTACAACAGGGGTTGGCAATCTGGGGTGGTTCCTCACACCCCACAAGACCCTTAGTGCTGCACTCTTCAGCGGCTGTAGGATTAAAACAAACTAAGCACGTCCTCAGTAAGCTATCGCAGCAGTTTGTCTTACAAGCAAAATTGTAAGCTTGGATCCCCAGTCAGTGGAGGAGCCTGCCAACAGTGGATAAGCTATTCAGAGGAGAATAAACAGTTAGAACCAATGTTAACAGAGTAAAATCCTGGGGCTGAGAGTGGAGAAAATAATATTTTGGGTTAAGTTCCTTCCTAAGCCAAAGTTTCCATGACAATAACCCAGAATATGGAGCAATGCAGTTTACTGATGCCACCCCCCCCGACCCCAACTAAATTACTCTTTTGTCTCCTTAGTCCATGGGAACAGAGAAGCTGAGTGTGTGGGAGCCTTTGCATGTAATGTGAAAATGTGGTTTAGCATTATATCCATAAGCAGAAAGGCCCATTTCACTTCAGCATATTCATGACTTGTGGTTACATGCAAAGAAGGAATGAAGCATTCCCAAACCTGGAACCCTCCAGATGTTTTGGACTATGGCTTCCATCAATTTCAGGCAGCATGGCCAATGGTTAGAGGTGAAGACCAAAATATCTGGAGGGCACAAGGTTGGGAATGATTGCTAAATAAACTGGCAACAATCTCTAGCATGCTTTGCTGGAACTGTCAAACATATTCATTTTAAAGCACAGTCCCTGGTTTGCACATTGATAAACCAGGAATCTGCTAAAGTGAAATTGCATTTTGGCTTCTCTTTCTTCTGGGTATATGAGAAGAGGAAAGGGGAGGAAGGAGCTCAGTATTGTACTTGGACCTTTTTCTGCTGACAGACATATCACAAAATTATGGAAAAGTGTTAAGTGTAGAGTGTGTGCACACATACAAACACACACCTGTGTGGCTCTTCTGTAAGATGTCATGCCTCCACTAGCAATTTATTAATAATGACCTTGTATGTAGGTCCAAAGTAGGTTTTTACAAATACTCTTATAGAACATAGATGGGGAACATGGCAACAACAAGAAACACTTTATATGGACAAACAGATAGCATTTTCTAATTGAATTGATCAGTTTTCTGGTATCAAGAAACATAATTGGAAACAATGGAAATACAGGGTTACACCCATGAGCATGCAGGAGACATAAAACTAAATTTAAAGTCATCTCCTCCTTTAAGGCAGCAGAAGTTATTACAAGACATCCGTCTTCTGAGCCTAGTGATAAATTACTGTGTGCTAAGGGGATAAGCTGTATCTTTAAAAAGCTTGCACAGACTTCTGTTGTCATGGCAACAGATGTGCACAACATCACTCCTTTGCTTATCAAAATCACAACTAGAGCAGGAAAGCAGTCCTATATTTCTTATATTGAAGCACTAGATTTGTTGGCATTCAAAATTTTGGTATGTTGCAGCTGCAAACTACATACATTTGTGTTAAGCAACTGGCTGCTGATACACTGGAAATAACTGGTGCATTATCTTAAAAAGTACTGTTGAGATCAAATGGAATGGAGCCATTACACACACACACACCACCCCATACCTAAAAAAAAACCCCACCTTAACATTTTGTTAACGGAAGTCATTAGTACACCAGGCCCAGTCAGCTTTAAAATATCAATTCAGCATGGGAAGTTGAGTCACGCTACTCTAGACTGCACTGCAGAGTTCAATGGCACTATCTAAAAATATTCACACAATGTAATCGAGTTCCATTAAACTAATAGGAGTTTTACCATTAATGTCAGTAAGTTCAAGACAGCACCTATCATGTTAGATGGGGAGACCAGGAGGAAAAATGTGTCAGGCTTTTGTAACAGGTTATTAAATTTATGGAGGACATGCAAACCAGACAGCTTGTGAGATAACCATTTCTGTTGTCCATTATAATGGAGAAAAATCCCTGCCAGAAAAGTAACTTCCAAGAAAGAGACAGTTTGTTTCTGTTCTCCTGTAAAGGAAGAACCACACTTACTTCATCGTGCGTATATCCCATCCTCGAATGGCAGTGTCATTTGCTGTGGCAACTTGAGTGCAATTATGGTGAGGACTCCAGCGTCCAGAGGTAAACTTTAACTGCCCTTTCCCTTCCAAAGCAACTGAATTCGACAGCTGTACATTAAGATACAACCCCACAATGAGTGACTCTGTTATGAAACTAGTGTGAGCTTTATGTTTTTCTGTCTATACAAAGTAAATGACTTAAAGGGTAACAAGAAGAACAGCTTGAAATGTAAAACACAGAATAACAAGTCTCAGACTAACAGTTCAGGTTGTAACATATATATGACCTGTTGGCTGTTCTAGCTAATACGAAAAGTAACAACATTCTTCAAGTATACATATATTGGGGCAGCATCCAAGTGGTCTGCTCTGCAAGTGGGCCCATCATCACTGGAACCCACCTTTTGCATGACAGGGATTTAGCACTTCCTTTTAGAAAGTTGCAAAATGTGTGAAAACACTCAGCTCCGGACTAGACCAGCTCAGCAGTTCCCTTTTGTGAGCTTGCCTGATCTACCTCATTCCAGAGATGGGCTTTTCTAATTGTTTCCAGTCCCCGGAAGAAGACTTAACTTTCTGTTGCACAAGTGGTAGACACCACTCGTGAAGCAGAAGCAACAGTGGGGCCCCCATGTCAAGCAGCCCACTAAGCCCTTTAAGGCTTTGAACTAGAAATATTGATTTTAGCTTTTTAAAGAACGATCCACCTTTGGAATCATATTAAAAAGGAGAAAGGAAAAGAGAAAGAAATGCATATAATTAGCTGGTAGTGGGATAAACATAACCTGTGGAATTTCTCAATGTGTGAACCTATTCAGACATTACAGCTGCAACAGGCCTTGGGCTCCTGCACAGCCTCAGCATGTAGTCAAAGTAACAAGTACACCTCACTTGCATCCATCATGGAGTTTCCAGAAAATCCCACATTCAGCTAGCGGCATATGGGCAACCAGCTGCTTTTGGTCACTTTTGGCTCTGGAAGTCTTCTGTGCAATCCGCTGTGGATGTCTGTTGCCAATGCTGCCCCGTAATTTTCACACTCCACTGACATGACCCCAAGTCAGTTTGGGGATGACCCCCCCCCCTTGCACACCTAGTTCCCCGGGGCGGTTGTGCTCTGGACAGTCCACCAAATACCTGCTCAGCATGCAATCGAGGAATGTGACTGTCCTGGGGAAGAAGGCGCATGAGAAGCAGCATTAGCACACACCCTCTTTCTTGGGCTGTTTCCTGGACTGGCAGGAGCATGATTTCAATAGGGATGATGACACGGCGCACTATCCTCTCCAGTTAAGTTGCACATCTTCAGTGTGCAGTTTGAACCCTTCCCCGCTGGTATTGAGATGGTGAGGAGCACTACATGCCTGTGCATGAGTGCACATTCCTGAGTTCAGGGTGGCTCATCACAGAATGCAGCCTTTGGGAGCAAAAAGGTTTCCTGAAATGAATGGGATGACTTCTGGATGCACTTTGCTTCTTCTTTCTCCAAGCTGAGGAAACACAAAAGCCCAAGGGCCACTCCCTATCTTTCCACCTCTTCCTCTGTTGCATAATGTTTCAGAGACTATGTAATGTCTGAACAGGCCCAGAAACATGAGATGCCATTAACAAAGTCCCCAGCATATCAGGCTAGCAGCTTCAAGTAGAAGCTCTGATGAAGGAAACTGCAGCAAGCTGATTATTGCCTTACCTTTCCTCTGACACCTATCTATCCTTGAAATGCTGGCATTCTATTATAGGATATGAAGTTGCTGTTACAACATGCAGCTTTCATGACCTTCTGTAATCAGCTCTTGTACGAAAGTTGGTCTGTGGCCTTTTTCCCTCAAGGCAATCTTCTCTCACATCCATACAATAAAATAGATGTGTACTTGATTCAGTTACAAGTGTTTTTAGACACACACAACTGGTACTTTAAGTCTATTAAATCAGTACCCACATGAAATTTCCCTATGAACTATATTCTGCTCTTGTACTTGATCAAACAGGGAAAACATTTTATTGTTTATTATATCTGAAATGGACACAGCTCAGTTGTTTTGTCAAATTTTGAATTCATTTCCCTGAGAAAGAGAGCATGTTTGAATATGTAGATATATATAAGCACAATAATAATAAATAGGTATTATCACCACAGTGTCTTTGTATTCAAGGACAACAGTGGTCAGGACATATTACAACTGAACACAGTGGCACCAAACTCCATAACTGAAGGTCATTTATTGTTCTCTTCTATAAGGAAAAGGGTGCACAAAAGGAAATGTGTTGAGAACATTCTTGTTTGTTGGCTGTGTGTGGGGATGGGACTCATCTGCTCATAGCATTTCGCACTCATTTTTCATCAGTGCCTACCTTCACCTTCTTGCATATATGAACTTATACTTGAATACACTAACCATTTGCTAATATTTTTAAACTTTTGTAAAGTGAAGAAATAATGGCATTAGGAACAGAACAAAAATAAAAGTTGTCATGAGGTGCTCATGCAGAAATAACCCAAGAAGATGATGCAGGAGCATCTAGGGAACCATTGGCCTGAGTGATTAACTACTATGGTAGGCCCCAAACTTATGATAGTACTTTAAAAACAATTAGCTCTCTCCCTTATCATCGGTCTCCCTGCTATATAAAAATGCCCACCTACACATTCTAAATAAATATGGCTACAATGTTAAATACTCTTATTTAAAGTGAGAGCAATAGAAAAATCCACCAAGTTTATTCAAGTTCTACAAGACTCAGAAATCTATTTTAGTTCAGAAAGACCTGAAAAGTTTTAAGGTTTCTAAGAGAGCAGTCTAAACACGTATTTCAACAACTGAAATATGTTTAAGATGCAATGTTTCACTTTTAAGTTCTTCTGAAAAACAGTCATATAATGGCAAGTACATTGTGAGTCTCAAATGCAAATAGTCATGCCACACTTCACAACCAGACATCATTACAGTCAGGGCTACTCATACTCTGAGATTCCACAGAATCCTGGTTTGGTATTAGCCACGGGAGGTGCCATTATATGAATAGAAAGCACTTCCCTCCACAGAAGTTGGAAGTTTCTGATTTTCAGAGATTCCCTCTTTCTCCTGCAGCCCTTGCACCATAGCTCAAAGTGTTCTGGGGGTTCCTCTAATATTCACAAAGGGCTTGTCAGGGGGTGCAAGAGGGAGTTTCAAAAGCTCCATTGTGGCAGTTGATCTTTGGTCATGGATGTTCAAATCCAAATCAATATCTAGCAATCTCTGAATCTCACTGGAGTTATTTATATGACCCAACAGTTTACCATGGTTATTTAATGCATAGCAAGTGTGCAGTGTGTGGGGGATATGTGCAGTTGCCACTTTGAATACACAAGCCCTGCTCAATAACACTGAAAGGAAGAGGAGAATTATGTTAGCTGCCTTGAGTTCATTGAAAGGAAAAGAGTGGGCTATAAATTAAACAAACAAACAAACAAACAAACAAATAAATGTTTGCCGAAGTGAAACAAAACTTACATAAACTTTGCCCGTTTCAGGGTTACAGGGGGGCTGTTTAACCCTGACATAACACACACTTGCTGAGTTCACATGGCAGGACAACCCCTGAGTAGAGGATTGCATGTATAATCTGGCACCGGTGGGTACCACAGCTCTTCATTGGTTAAATAATCCACAATAAACCACAATGTGTTTCTAAACCTCCTAGCTCTTTCCCTTTTTAAAAGAAACAAGATTGTAATGGTTGTGAAGTTGGGTTGAAAATGTGCAGGCAAAGCCAAATGTGATGCATTGTAACTTAAGGGGGTACAAGAGAATTCTCAGTAACTATACAGCATATCTACAGAACTTTTCATATACCTTCACAGATCCAGAATTGCTTTGCACTAGCTAGCACTCAGTCCTGAGCTCAGTTCAAAGTGTTGGTGCTAACCTTTAAATCTCTACATAACCAGTGAATCAAGGAACACTTTCTTCTATATGAACCTGCTCAGATCTTCAGGTCATTTTCAGCGGCCATTCTTTGGTGCTTCCACTGAAGGAAGCTAGGCAGGTTACTAGAAGAGGAAGTTCCCCAAGGAGGCTCACCTGAAGCCTCTATTGTTACCTTATCAGCAGAAAAGAAAGATCTGCCTTCCCTCCTGGGTGTCTAAGAGACTTAGTTTTTAAACTATGGCTGCTCCTATATATCTTTATATTTATCTATTCTTATATAGTTTGTAATTTTGTACTGTATTTTACTCTTGTAACTGTAATCCGTCCATGAAACAGACATTATTGGGTGGATAAAAATAAAATAAATAATACAAACAACATAAGGTATGCAACAGAGCTTAACATCTATAATTATTTGTGTCACAGAAATCAGCTTTCCATGGCCCACCCCCAAACACTTACTCTATAGGGCTATAATAGCCTAGATATGTATAAATACAGTTCAGTAAAGGGTTAATTCGGACAATGTTTCTTTGGAGGAATTGCATAGCTAATGTAAAGCATGTGGCATGATGAATTTTTGTAACTAAATTCTAGCAAAGTAAATGAGAAAACCCAAGAACTTGACTTTCAGTGGAAAATTCTCTTTCTATTAAATAGTATGACTTGTGACAGGCTGGAGAACATCCCAAAGGAAATGCTTATATTTGATACAGATTGGAATTAAGGAGAAATATGGTAACTTTGAGATTATGAGTGAAAGAGACTGCCTAGGACAGTGAAAGCCTAATTAACATTCAAAAGAACCTTAAAGCAAGGCAAGGCATAGCAGCCCAGGGGGAGCATGAGGAATGGAGAAATGCTAAGCATGTCTGTAAAAACCTGACACTTCAATCAGACAAGAATGTTGATCACAGCATGAAAACAGACTTTACTCTAGAAAAAGAGTTGACCAACAGTTGGCAAGGGAGAGAGGGAGTAGGAGATCGGACAAATCCACTTAACACTGGCAGTAGCTGGAAAGGAGCAGAGAAATCTGGCTGGCTGGCCAATGTTGGGGAGGGTGGATAGGTAAGCCAGGGAGAACGGAGAAAGATTTTGTACAGGAAGCATTAGGACTACTCCACTGCTGCTTTGAATAATGTACAGTCTCTGAATTTATTTTATGGATGTCAGAAGACGATTTGCCCTATTCATTTTTAAATCAGTTAATTTTCCAGCAAACTTGAAACAACATACACTGCTAGTCAGAATAAAGTATTCACAATCTTTTAAAAAGTGAAACAACTGTAAAGGTACATAACTACTCACAACATTATGCCTCATTACAAATTGTTAGATGCCTTACCACAGCCTGGCTTGAACTTTCTTGTAAATCCCAGAGAAGCAAATGATTATCAGCCAGAGAAATTAGCTTTTTGCCATCTCCCATGGGTTCCCATGCAACACTGTGAACACAAAATGCAACTTTTGGAGAAATACGGAAAAACGTGCAAGTAATTTCCATCAAGATTCATTTATACCTGCTCTAGAAACACCCTCTCTGGAGGACATGGTTCGCAACTGGATCTAACATTTTGCAGTGGTTTTGCACCGCCTTATACACACTGATGATGTAATAACTTTAAGTAATAGAGAAAAAAAATTATTTCAAGATATAAATAGCAAAATCTTTACAACAAGAGCTCTTCTCACAGCAGCTTATAAGTGAGTATCAGCATAAAACCAACAATTATAGATTATGAAAATGTGTGGAACCTGAAATGGGCTAACATATAATTTCCATCCCATGAACTTTGGGTGAGAGTTCAAAGCGCCGAAAGGCCAATCCCTTTCTTCTACCATGCAGAGAAGCACGGCTATCCACTAGTCTCCTGTCATTCTCTAACCTAGTCATCTTTCATTTGTTTTTACTGGGTTATCTGAAGTGAATCCTTAACTACTGTACTTCTGATTCACCTTTATGACCAATCACTAATAGAGCTGAGAAGTAAATGGAATCAAGGGCAAGCACTTTGGAATGATTTAGGGCTCACTGTGTTTGCTTCATCTCAAGAAAAGTGATTGCTGTACTCATTAGTAGTGCACAGTAAGAGCAACAACTCAAGGGATCACCACTGGTCATATGATTCCTGGTCTATCCTGGTTCTGTTGCTGTTTTAAGGCATGCTGAATTATTTTCATTACTCTTTACCTGCATAAAGGGTACAGATTCCATTTTTACCCAAACTGAAAAAGAAGGGCAGTAATAAATGAACAAACAATACCCAGACAAGGAAGACATAATAAAGTAATAAAGAACAGGAAAAGAGAAGAGAAAAGTTATCAATTAAATGTGCAATCTTATGCAAATTTATACCCAAAAAGCCTTTTTTTCTGTCTAAACAAGTATGGGTTGCTCCCTTAGGAACTTTAAATGGTTAACTCTCATTCTGAGTTAACAAGGTAAGTGCTTCAGAAAGATATGACAGAATTTGCTTAACATTTGAAGAGAGAGGAACTGCTCAGGAAAATTAATGTGTATCAGGTTTCCAGTCCAAAGAGGCTTTCAAACAAAACTTTTATAGCCCTATCACCCTAACTAATTTTTGAGATTTTACCAGGAGACCAGATGAAAATGTTTTCCTCTTGTACCCTTTCTGTATTTTCCCACCATTTCTTCCAACATTTTTCTTAGCAGAAAATAATCCATTAAGAAGGAAAAATATGAAATAACTATACAACTTATTTTGATTGGTAGCACTAAGAACAGTCTTCCACAATCTGGTGTCCTCCAGATGTTTGGAATTATCCCATCATTCCTGACCACTGGCCATGAAGGCTGGGTTGCTGGGTACTGAAGTACACAACATCTGTAATGCGCAAGGTTAGGGAAGTCTGTACAGAGGCATCCTTATGACAAAGTTCATTTGGAATCACCATCTGGAAGGAAACACCCAAAACGTCTGAGAGCACATCTATAAAAAGCTTGAAATTCAGTATCCAGCTATGTTTATCAAGGTAAAACAAACCATCAAGGGTCTACTTTGTTTGATTTATTAATATTGGAATGCATTTTCAAGAGCCAATTCTATGGGTACAAATTCTACTGTCTTTCACTTACATTAGACTTTGTGAAAGGGACAGTAGTATCACCCTGAAAGTTGTCAAAAAGTGAACATTATTGCATTTTTTATTTTCTCTGAGCTGTGAGGAGGAGGTGTTAGACAGGAGTGTTAATTAGAAAGAAGTATAACTCAACCAACACACCTTGAAAAGATCTAAGAGTATCTGTCCTTGTGAGATGGACATTTTATTTCACTACTAATTTATTTTATTGGATCTCATAGTTCACTCTTTTATAGATGCAATTGTAGCAATTCTTCAGGATTTATGGTGAAAATGAAGGTTACTGTTCTTTTTTTAATAAAATAATTCTCTTATATACTACAGTTGCCTGTACTTGTAAATTATGGTAGCATAATGGAGAAGACTGAAGTCTTCAATATACTTGATTTGGTGTTAGGTAAACAAGATGCATATTTTTAAGGTAGGGATGTGCCCTCAATGGTTACTTTTAAAAATCCCTTATCTTGATCAGAGTTTTAGTTTTAGTTTTAATGTTCAGCAAACTTATTGAAAAATAGGATGTTTCAAAAATTTAAGAACTTGTACTGAGCTAAACATCTTCACCCTGAAAAAAAAAAATAAGGACAAGCCTTACTGGTTTTTTCTTTTTTAATTATCCTTCCAGTTGTTCATGATTGCAAACATTTTACCAAGAAGTAAAACCTCTCCCTGCCACATCAAAAACATCACTTGCTCGCCCACTGAGTACCATGGTAAGCAACATCTGTTCTAATACTCTGCAAAATCAAGAGTAAAGTCCAGCAGCCATCAGTCTTCAGTAGTCTTCAGCTTTTCCAAACCTGGGACTAATCCTTAGCTTGAGCGTGCATTTTGGGACCAAATTTTTCATAATTATGTTTTTACCATATATTTGTACAGTGCTGGTACTGGCTGGTACAATCCATCTAAAGTCATTGTGTACTATAATAGCAGGTCCTGACTAACCAGCTGAGGACCAGTGGTTAGTATAGAAGATCCATTATCACTATAGCAGTGATCTGCAAAAATAATACATTATGTACATTGAATAAAACTGAAAGAAAAAAGCCATTCAAGGAATCACTTGTCACTCACCTACCACAAGCTTCCAGAAGAAGGAAAGGGAAAATCAGTGGCAATGTGCATGCTTTACTTGCAGTAGCACTCATATTCAATCCCTATCTTTTTCAGGTGAAAGCATCTCAAGTAGGTAGGATGGGAAAGACTTCTACCCAAGACCTTGGAAGTCCTCCACACAAGTCAGAAGAAACTGCATTGGTCTAGCTCAAGAGTGCCAGGCCTTCAGACCACTGTTCATATCCATACTTTGACACAGGTATTCAGAGCATGGGGTTCTCTCCAGGCTACAAGCCTACAAGATCAGCATTAATGCCTCACTGGCTTCCCAGACCATGGAGCAGAGCACCTAGAACATCTAAAGATGCCACTTTCCAAGGCCATCTGCTTACCTGTCTGCCTCCTGTTCAGCATCTCTGTGCTTCTTGAGAAAATGAGTTGGAAACGGATGTCTAGAAAACAGGCAGACAGACTTCATTTTTCTGCTGCAGGTAGATAAAGGGAGGCTTTTTCCAGCATGTAGCAGGGAAGCAAATAGAATTGCCCATGAAAGAGCAGTGTTTCCCCCATGGCAAGCAAAGTGTATGCTGAAAAGAGAGCTTCCTTTTTCAGTGTGCAGCAAGGACATAGAAGCAATTGTGAGGGTCTGTATGTACAAGCACGTGCTTTGTCAGTATGAATGAGGTGCGTGTTGACTCACTTTGGGCTTTGACCTTACCTGTGGTTGGTATGAGGACCTCAAAATTGCCTGAAGAAACAGAGACCTCTGGGAAGTGGGGGAGGGGAGATTTTCCCACCCGGGGGCTAGATGGGCCAAGGCAGTAAATAGCAGGTTCCTATGTATGTTTAAAAGCAAAGTGATCATTCAAGAACAAGCCTGTCATAAATTACTGTAAATCAGAGGCTACAAGCTTTAATATTATATTTTTAGATTTGTTTTAGTACACTTGCAATACGTTTGAATATATACTTTAGTCTGCTCCTCAGCTAATAAAGGCCCCCAGAGCAGCTTACAAACAAGATGATCCCTGCTCACAGGCTCTCTCTCTGTAACGGGCAGAACATGCTGGGCAATGCTGAGAGCTGAAGGGCTTTTTTTAAGGAATGCACCTTGCTGTATTTGTGTGTCATTGCTTTAGTCCCTGCAAGGAGGCTGTATAGCTGACATTGTACTCCATGCCACTTTGGCACTTTCTTTGGTTGTATACAATAATAATTGGAGGGGGAGGGGTTGAGGTTGATCTTGGGTTTTATCCATAGCATTACTATGAACCATTCATTGCTGAAAATGAATGGCTCCTACTGCATGCTGGATCTATGCACCTGCAGTTTTGAACATACAATTCCTGACTGGGGTGTTCTGGGGTTGTACTGTACCACACTGCTAAAGCTACTACCAACCTTGGAATAACCCATGATGGCCAAGTTTACATAACCCAGTGCAACTCCAGCTCACCCAGACTGGAGGTTATGTACAGAATATTGTAGTCATATGGATCTGGTAGACACAATGATTTGGGTATATCATTCCAACTAGGCCAAGTGTGCTGGGAGGCTGAAGTTCTGAGCACTGCCATTTCTGAGGCCAGATTTATGTCTGTGTATTCCTTTCCATAGGAACTGCAGGTGGCACAGTGGTTTAAACCGCTGTGCTGCTGGGCTGCTTTACCGAAAGGTCGCCGGTTCGAATCTGCACAATGGGGTGAGTTCCCATTGCTCCATCCCAGCTCCTGCCAACCTTGCAGTTCGAAAGCATGCAGATGCAAGGAGATAAAAAGGTACCACTTTGGTGGACAGGTAACAGCGTTCCGTGCACTTCGGTGTTTAGTCATGCTGGCCACATGACCACGGAGACTGTCTGCGGACAAACGCTGGCTCCCTCGGCTAGGAAACGGAGATGAGCACCGCCCCCTGGAGTCAGGCACGACTGGACTTAATGTCAAGGGGAAACCTTTACCTTTACTTATTCCTTTCCATAAGGACTGGCCTGCTTGCCCCAAATAGGACAGCAATGACAGAAGATGGCATGCATCATGTCAGAAGATCAGCAAGTGAATAAACCTCTAATATTCGGGTGACATTATTAGGTCCCAGTATTTCCAGAACAGATACGGGGAACAGAGTTGGCATCTAGCCCTTGTGTTTCTATCACTGTTTATGTCATCTGTTATTGCTTGTAAGCAGCCACTTTAGGTTCGGACCTTTCTATAAGCAAGTGAATGCCCATGAGAGGGATGCATCCTTATCCAGAATGGGTTGCAGAGCAATGTGGCAATTACTGTTCTGTGTTTGTCTCTACCACTTAGTTTGTATGAACATATAGATCCTGTTCAGACTTCACAGTGCAGTCTAGTGACAAATTGTGGGTTAATTAACAGAGTCACTTAGGGGCTGTTTGTGGTTTATTTAAAAACCCCAAGTTAACTCATGGTTGATTTTTCAAATCACCAAACTGAAATAATCATTGGTATGTTTTGTTGGTGTTATTTTTATTGTAAAATAGGGTGAAAGAAAGGGATAAAAAGAAGAAAAGGGACAGGTGGATCTGTCTGATTCACTGCTTTAAAAAGCTTAATAGAGAAATAAGGAATGAGGTAAAGGGAAGGAGCACAAGGGACATGCAGAGTTAAAAAAAAGTCTAGGATAGACAGTTTGTATCAAGTTCTGAAGGTGACAGACCTGTAAGCTTGATATGACAAGAGACTAGCAAAAGAATTTGGCAAAGGTCTGCTGTTTAACGGTTCAAGAGCAAACATGATAAAAAGGCTCAATAACCAATGCAGAGCTGTATACTGAAAGGAATTGAGAATTGCAGGAGGAGGACGGGGGGTGGAGATGAAATGCATAAAATATCTAAAAGGAAAAATGTTTGCTGGAAATTCCTCTCAGCCAGAGACCTGGGAATATTAACAGAAGTAGCTACTATAGCAAAAAAGCATTGATAGAACTCCCATATTGGCATAGTTACACTATGTGGCTGGTTGCACCACGCTATGGAACCTGAACTTTTTCCCCCACAGGACAAATAGCGGCTTTGGGTGTGTGCACTTCTGTGTGTGGGTGTGTGTAGGACTGTAAGGGTTAGGTTGTGCAGCACAGTCCTGTTCTAATTCATGGCTTTTCGCAGTTGTATTTATCAATTTAAAACTAAATTGAAGGAGATCCAATTACCAATATCCTGACATCTTGCTAGTTTGGCCCTTCGCTGAAAGAACCATGATTAACCCCCGCCCCTCCAAACCTGGCCACAAATAACTAGCTCATGGACGGCTGGCTTGTTTTTGTTGTTCTCTTTCTGACCTATGTCTTCCACATCCTATAGTCACTAATGAGCTGCTTTTGAAACTCACAGCAATATTGCGGTTTGATGTGGCATCAGAGAGTACATTTAACACAAACACACAGATTCACATCTCATAACAACCTACTCAGACAAAAAGCCACAACAGAAGTCCCCCCCCCCCCGCAAACTACCCACAATGAGCCTGACAGACTATCAGGCTCACTATGGACTGTTTGTTCCTAGCTCCTCAGTCCTTCAGTAGTACACTGGGGGACAACACAGCAGTACTTGCATAATTTGAAGCCTCAGCTGGGTTAATGTCCCAGGGAGTACATGCTAACAAGTTGTAGCAGCTACCAGTCCTGGAGTCTGCTGCAGACAGCTCCAGCCTGTTCTTGCTTCCATCCTTGTCTCCAGTCTGCCCCTGCCCTATTAGGTACCTGCACCCACCCTCCTTGGGCTCTCCTTGCTCCTGAATGTGGCTGTCTTTCTGGTACCAGACCTTTGCACTGAGCTCTGGGAGTGTATTTTGCCTGACCCTTGCTGTCTCGCTGGCTCTTCACCTTGTTCTGTTCAAAGATGTGTTTCTTGCTTCTGGCCCTCCAAACCCTGCGCAAGCCCCCACACTGCACCTGCACCATGGTCCCGCTGCCCTCACCACAGCTGCCCACAGAGCGGAACGTTCCTGTCCAGAGTTTCAGCCTGCCATGTCCTTTTCCCAGATATTCTGTTTCATCACTACCACCGCACATAAGCATTTCATGGTTACTAAGCGTGTGCAGCCCACACTAGGCTACTTTAATGGTTCCCCGCGCTTATATTTTCATTCTGAAGATACTATATATTTTTTAATTATATGTCTTGTGTTTCCCGAGCCTGCTGAAATTTTTCTTCTTCCATGAGGATAGTACCATTTCGTCAACGTAAGAATCCATGCTCAGGAAATGTTTGATATTAGGATGTAATTATTGTATTGTCTAATGTCCACTAGCCATTGTTAAATCACAGTCTATTTCTCTCAAAGTGATCCTTTAAAATTATTTCAAAAGGTTCTGTAAAAGATCTGGCAAGATCTAATTTCTTTGTGTTTGCTCTCTCCATATATCAATGCCATATCAGACAGATCAAAGGACCCTGCAGTCCCAAGGCTGTAAATATGCAAGTGAAAAATGAATCGGTGCCTGGTTTCCAGTTCCAGACAATGCTATACTTTAGATGATTAACTAAAGGGTTATACACCATTTTGCTGTTAACACTGGGGGTGAGCAGAAAATGAATTGCTGGCCAGTTTCTGGTGAACCACCTAGCAAGGTTTCTTACAGTGGATGACAGACTAGGGAAGCCTTGGAAAGATCAGCAAAGCACTTCTTATGTTGCTCAGAAAGACTGCATAGTCAGAATCACTTCGAGTTATGCTTTAAAAAATCCAGTTTATGTACTTGTTAATTGAAAATTTAAACATACACCACTGGAACATGATTATTCCAATAAAATTATTGTTGCAGTTTATATTATTACTATTACTCATTTATATAGCACTATCAGTATGCATGATACTTTATAGAGTACTCAGAAGACAAGTTCCTGCCCCAACAAGCTTGCTATCTAGAATATTACATAGGATAATCAGAAGAAGCTGCAAGAATTAAAACAAATGGATCACTTTTGGTCAATTAAAATTACAAGCACAGAGTAGAGGGGAAAGGATCCAGATTGGAGCCATGGAGGGGAGGGGGAAAATGTTAAAGCCCCTATCCCCCATGCTTAAGTCTTGATTTGGCCTGGGGACCCTATGCTCACTTTAGAGAAATGTAGAAAGAAATACACAGCTGCTAGTTAATTCTTTAAAGAAATGTGCAGTTTGGCTCTTATTTCAGCATAAGATTTCATTGCCCATGAAGTACACGTCAGACAAAGTGGGCTCTGGACCATGAAAGTTGATGTCTTAATATGTTTGACAGTCTTTACAATGTTACAAGACTATTGATATTATTTCATTTTAAAAGAAAAACCCATGGAGTTTAATGACATGTGTTTTCAATTAAAAATAAAACAAAACAAAGAAACGGGAGTTGAAAATAAGAAACATGCTTAATTTATCATTAGACTCCTGGGAAAGGATTTTTAAGCCAAATAAAAAATTACTGGGCAATATGAGAAATAGAAAGGTAGCTCATGACTAACATAATTTTGAGCCTGATAGAGTACTTTGCTAATATTCTGTTAGATTAAACATTCCCTTCTAAATCTAGAGGGAGACAGCTCTGCCAATAAGAATTCACTGATTTCATTCACATAATCACAGTAGGTTAAACAAAACTCAGTGGCTTGCTAGAACTGCAGCATGTGCCAGGTACCATTTGCCTACCTGGATGCAGCTCGTCATGTTGCCAAAACAGGCACAGCTTGTTGACAAGGGGCGCAACCCTCAAATAACCCAATAACTGCCTATGGATAATTTGAGATTTGCTTCCACTTCTGATAAGCTATGTTGCCTGATCCTAGTGACAGAACAAGACATACTTGAACAGGGGCAAATCAGTCCTTTGTTTCATTAAAACTTGAGTATATTACAGAAGATTGAAATTAGCCTGCTCCCAGTTTACAGGACTGCTCATTCTTTGCTTATATAGAGAAATATACAAATAGTACATCAACAAACCCTGTTTCATTCATAAGAATTAGCTAGGAAATAGTTTCTTCTTATTTAAAGAAATGCGGCTATGCATTGTTATTATTTCTTGATAGGAAAGCATCTGTTTGGGCTATAAAGTATATCATAAAGTTAAACCTTATTTTCAGGGAATATTAGTTGCAAACGGAGCATTCATCCATTCATTGCATGTCTACACTATCCAGTAACTGAAGCTCTTTAGGTGGTTCACAAAACAGAGCTGTACCCAATAAAATACAAATCAACATAGCATAAAAAAACCCCAAACCAGTACAAAATAAAACCAAAAACTGTTACGCTAAGTCCTAAAAATCACAAACACCATCTTTAAAAACGGAAGGACTGAAAAGCCTAGAAAGATAAAAAGGTCTCCAGCTGATACTGAAAAGCCCACATGTATGCACAACACTGGGATGGAGGGAGCTTCAGGAGCCAAAACAAAGATCCACCAAACACAATTTCCAAGTTAAATGATTGAACTGTTAAGTTTAGTAGGAGTTTTGTGCAACACAAAATGAAAATACACAATAGACTTATAAAGGAATAGTTACACCAGTATGTGTTTGCAGAACTAATGATTTTAGTTGGCTGGAATAATTAAAATTCATGTGTACCTATACATAAATGTGCATGTATAGTTTTTAATCTGCAAAGTCCACATTTTAATATAAACCTGCACTGAACAGCACAGACCTGTTCTCCCCCTCCCCACCCTGCACAGTGAGTGTAAAATATGCAGAATCTTACCCAGCCATATTGCCATGGGCTGTGTTGTCAAGGTGACAGAGTAGCTCCAGGGTTTGAGCGTTGCTTGATGAATCATCAGGGGATTCATGACTGCCTGATTCCAATTCCTTCGGCATCCTCCAAACAGCCGCACATGTCATGACTTTACTGTCTGAAGCTAAGGAACAGAGGATAATGTCAACAGATCACAGTATGGGGAGGCAGGGAGACATTCTGGAGTGCGATGCATCAGTATTTTTGCAAGCATAGGCAAAGCACAGCACATCTGCCATTTAAAATATTTAAATAATCCTATTGAGCTTTATCCTGACAATGCTGTACACGGGCAAAATGATAGGTTACTGGTAAGCAAGTGGTTTAATTCCAAGCCCATAATTCGCATAGGTATAACTCACGTTTCTACAGTCCTAAAGCCAAACATTTAAGGGAAATACAATTCCACTACAAAGACTTTTCCAAATGCTGCTTCCCATATGTCTATTTCAATTAATATTAGAAATTACAGTGATCCTTTGCGGAGGTACCATTTTTCACCTTAATGATAATAACACAGGTATAATTTAAAGATCTCCATCTCTGGCTTTGCTGGGCTGCCTTCAGTTTGCACGTGGGGCAGTAAATCACTTCTTGCAGAGTATTAGATTTTTAAAGCTCTACACTTGAAGAGCCTGGCCCTGTTTCAGTTTCCCGGATAAAATACAAAAAACCCAAGCTAAGGCACCCTAAATTTTCTTGCTCCTAAATTTTTTTAACCTTAAACCATTGCTAAAACTTGTCTTTCCATGAACTGACTAGAGACAGCATGTATATAAAACATATTCTATATTGTTTTATATTTTATATTGTTAATTTGTTGTGTGTATTATATTTTAATTTTATGTTGTGAGCCGCCCCAAGGCTTCGGCGAATGGGGCGGCATAGAAACATTTTAATAAATAAATAAATAACAGAAAGCCAAATAAACTGCAGCTGGTGTGTGTGTGTGTGTGTGTGTGTGAGAGAGAGAGAGAGAGAGAGAGAGGGAGGGAGGGAGGGAGGGAGGGAGGGAGGGAGGTGGGTAGTTCATGTAACTTGAGAAACAATAAAAGGTACTGGGGAAATAAGAAGAGAAAAAAAACATTATCAGAAAATTTCATGTATTTAAAGCCGCCTAATTTTAAGCTCCAGCATACAGCTTAAAGAAGAATGCCAACTTGCAAAAACACAGCTATCACACGAACACAACTACTTCTAGATTTGAGTCTCCAAATACATATATATCTTTCACGTAACAATTATTCTCTTCTGGACTGGCAAAATGATTACTATCTTGTTTTAAACACTCACTCTATAGCACTGCAAAAGGCTGTTTAAGGGAAGAGACCTGAAAGCTAGTCTACTGAGCAGGTCAGTGAACAAAAGCCTGCCTTGAATAAAACAGAAAGCTCAGTGTCATTAGTGAAGGGAGAAAATAAACACTTCAGCTATCAATGGTTGTATTCATTAGGATTAAACCAGTAGTTTAAGTTATTACTTCTACTGACATGGAAGGCAAGAAAGCACCCCACCCCCACCCCCAAAACTGATTTTAAACTGGTGATATACTCAGCAGATTGTGCAGGTAGACCTTCAGAACATACTTCTTTGATTACAACACACGCACGGGGTGCAGATATAGGCTAAGAATGAGTCTGAATCGGACACCCAAAGCAATGGCAGTATTAGGGTGCTGGCCTATGCATGTTTAGATAGCAGTAAGTCCTACATCTGCCAGCTTTCCTCAGGCAGCACTGCTGCTGGGGAATACTGGGGCTTGTAGGGCCTTTTTCATTCTAAATCGGCATAGATTTGCACCCTGGGTATACAAGTGCTTTATCATACTCACTGACAGCCCTACAAGATAGGTTGTAATAGACACACTACAGACTTAGCCAAGGCTGACAATGAGCCACAGTTGCCTAAGGAAAGAAATCTGAGTCCTATCACATATGTTGAACTAAACTGGATTTACACTGTTATACAAGATGTATACGCACTACCTTACATTGTACCAAAGTGTCATTTCTTCAGGGCTGTCACATGAAAAGATATAATAAAATATTTACAAAATGTGAGGGGTATGCTCACTTCTATGATATACTGTAGCTACTGAAGTTCTGCCCAGTTCTAGGCCTCGCGCAGGTGCACAAGCCCATCTGTGTGATGCGCAGAGACCACAAAGAAGAACTTACCTTTCAGACAATTATTTCCATTTTAACAAGTTCAAGAGGGGAGCATGAACTAAGAGTTTCTAATGACAGCTTTATGTTGCTCTTATGTTGTATGCTTTGGGAACCCAAGGCCTGTGAGCCAAATTAGATCCTCCTGGGAGTTATTCAGTTAACCACATCCCTTTCCCTGGCCATCTATTTCTTTGGTGGTTTCCTAGCTTATCTGTAACTCCCCCACCCCCAATTCACTGAAATGCCTCCCCTAAAGGTTAATTACTGGCCATAGGAGCTTTAAGCTAAAATACAGTGGCAGTTTTGGTGGTTTTGGACTGCACCTATCACTGGGATGCATTACATTCCTCCTAGAGAAAAATTCTCACTGAACTCTGCCTGGTAACAGTCACTACAATGGGAATAAATAGAGCACAGAGCTGACCAATTTTGTTTCTCTGTTATCCACTACCAACATTAGAAAGCCTGACCTAAGGTTTGGAAACATTGAAGAAAGAAAACTAATTGGGTACAGGCTAGACAGATCTCTCACTTTCAAAGTACAATAACTGCTAATTATATCAAGATCATGCATATTTGCAAGCACAAGACAATCTGTTGAGTAGGAAGGTATCAGGTTTTCACATCTCACAAACCTGGCTGACATTCGTCAGAGTCTAGCAAGCCGTCCTTCCCTTCCACTGTAAGGCTGTGATAGGACATGTCTGTGCGCTCAAAAAATACATGGAGTTCATCTTCCAGTCCCAACCTGTTCTGAGTGCTTTTCAAGACCTTTGTCATACTGTTCACTTTTTTTCTGAAATTCCATCTTTAAGAAAGCTCAGAATTTTTCTGTCTTATGACATGTTAAAGGAAGGCCAATCCATGGCCTGCAGAGGCTCCTGCTCTTTTCTATGAGAAAGGAAATGCTACATGCACTTGGTGGGAGATCCCTGCGTGAACACGTATTATTCACAGAATCCTTTTTTAAACAAGAAAATGCAGAGGGTTCAAATGCAAAGCCTAATTTATTTATTATCTATTCTTATGTTTTGATTAAATTTATATCCTTCTTGTCCTCCCAGGAGCTAAAGGTGAGGTACATAGTTTTCCACCTTTTATCTTAATAATCATCCTGTGAGGTAGGTTAGGCTAAGAGAAGACCAACTGGCTCAAAGTCATCCAGTGAGCTTCACAGCTGAACTGGAGCTGAACTTGGCTCTCACAATCCTAGTTGAGTCCAGGGGTGGGAACCCTGTTCCCTACAAAGAGCCTCTGAACTACGATTATGCCCAGCCATTTAATGACAGCTGGTGCTGATGGAAGTTGGACTCCACAGCAAAGAATGCTGATGAAACAGGAGGACATGGGGCAGCTCATGTGGAAAATAGCATGACTGGCTGGAAACCTGAACAGGAGCACCCAACAGTCAGTCATTGTGCTGCAAGTCCTACTTTTTTTTAAAGAAAGTTCCACTGGACATGACCAAATGATTGGACATGTCATATACCTTTAGCCCCACACTTGTTCTTAAATGAAATTCAGGAAGCATTCTTTCTACAAGGGACTTTTCCTTAGATAATACAAATATAGAATAATATGTACAAAGCTCTAAGTACAACGAAAAATGATCATGACTAAGTCTCACCAAAAATAATGGAATTATCATTATCAAGACTAAACTTGTTCTAACTATTGTGGTAAAACTACTTCAAAGAACTAATTTTGGCTTGATTAGGCCTACGAATGTCTCAATTCAGAATTTTAGATTTGCCACATGCACTATAAACTACTTCTTAAAATGTTGCCAATAATGCTTAAATGAAATTGGCTACTCTTAGTTTTATTTTGAAGTTATCCTCTCTACAGCATCTTCCAGGAGAGATGATAAAGTAGCTGGACAGCCTTTAATCAAGCAGAAGTCTGGAGAGAGTTGGCAATCTTATTGGCTGCTTAGCTTCTAATTTTTTATGTACAATTTAACTGGTCCTGAGTCATTTCTATATGACAGGAAAAAGTCCAAGTTTTGTAAAATCATTAACAAATACTTTTTTACACACTTTTATGGAACTCTGATGTAGCCTCAACTTTGGTACCATCTGGTACATTCTCCAAACCAAATGATTAGACACACCGACATCTTGTTGGCAACATACATTACTTAAAGCTCTCTCATGCATACTGCAATACACCTCCTGAAGGAGTTGCCTATTACCTTTTACAGTTATAGAAGCCAGCCAGCTCTGTGTCTTCTAAAAAGCACCTAGCATAATTTATTTCCATCCCTAATAATAGAGGTTACAGAGATGGACTCTTTCATCTTTGCCACTCACGAATATGAACTTCAGGTGCCATGCAATCATTGCACATGGTCCTCCCTCCCTTTCTCCAAAAGAATCCTTTGTAGATAAGCAGATTGGAACAATTAATGAAAAGTCAACAGCAACACACGGGGCTCAATCTGGCCAAATCAATAGAACTATAGCTAGTTTAAATCATTACGCTTATTTAGGCAACAGTGTACAATCCCTTTAAAAGAAATCATTTCATGCAGAACTTTTTTCAGAATTCATGGCAAATGATTCAATTGCTCAAGAATGTAAGCCTAAAATTAGCAGTAAGCATATTAATATATCCTGTATCACCATTTACTGCCTTCCTGATCCATAGAAGTCAGGCAATGGATGTAGAAAACAATCAGATCCTACGCCAGTGCAAAGGTCTAGTAAGGTAAAAACCACACAACTATCCACAACATATGCTACTTCCACACCATGCACAGGCTATTTAACAGGTGATAAGAACTGTACCCCAGGATGGGCAACTTACAGACTTCCAGATGATCTGGTCTACAACTCTCATCAGTCATAATCTGTATAGGCAATGGTGAATAATGATGAGAATTGCAGGACGAATCATCTGCAGGGTGAGAAGTTGCCCATCCCTGCTTTTCTCTAACAGCACTGATCACTGGTAG